TAGTGGTTATTGTAGTGGTTGTTGTTGGTAACATAGTGGTTGTAAGTGTTGTGGTGGTTGTTGGTGATGTAGTGGTTATTGTAGTGGTTGTTGTTGGTAACATAGTGGTTGTAAGTGTTGTGGTGGTTGTTGGTGATGTAGTGGTTGTTGTAGGAGTCGTTGTGGTTGTCGTAGGTGTTGTTGTGGCTGCCGGTGATGTAGTAGTTGTTGTAGGTGTTGTTGTGGTTGCCGGTGATGTAGTAGTTGTTGTAGGTGTTGTTGTAGTTGCTGGTGGTGTAGTGGTTGACGTCGGTGATGTGGTGGTTGTTGAAGGTGTTGTGGTTGTTATTGGTGATGTAGTGGTTGTTGTAGGTGTTGTTGTGGTTGCCGGTGATGTAGTAGTTGTTGTAGGTGTTGTTGTAGTTGCTGGTGGTGTAGTGGTTGACGTCGGTGATGTGGTGGTTGTTGAAGGTGTTGTGGTTGTTATTGGTGATGTAGTGGTTGTTGTAGGATCAAATGCTAAAAGATTGTACCTTCTGGGACAGTTCTGAGGAACTCTGCAACAAAAAACAATACGGCAACGTGAATGTTGTGTAGAACTGTATGACTTAATAAAGATGAATAGACACCATAAGCTTCCATTAATTCTTATAAACAGCTGTTTTACCTAACAAATGGTAGGGTGGTGGTTATTGGCGATCGGTTGGGCTCTGAGGTGTCCGATCTCACTCCAAGGTCAATGTAAGTGAGAATACTCCAGCCTCCAGAATTTGTGACTGTGTTGTAGATCCAGCAGCAACTGCTTTTGCTGTTGAAACATGCATGTCGACATTTTATATTTACATTTTGTTCAGATCTATATGTTTTTCAAATTATTTTTACTTACAGGAGCTGGAATGGGCTGTTGGTGGAAACCATCTTTGTTATCACTCCCTCAGACTGACACCAGTTGTTGCCATTGGGACTCGAATCTACTTGACCAATCACAGTACTGACATCATTTCCACAGTCTCCAGAGCTGCACGGCCAGTAATCATATTCATAACAGGAATGGTAGGTCGCCTTGAAGCGAAGTTCCACCTGAAAAAAAATCAGTGGTTTATGACTAAAGTAAGTTCTAGCTGTCAAAATCTGCTATTAAGAAGTACAAACATTTTTGAATTATACAACTAAAATGGATTTAAATTTTATATTCCTTACATGAGAAGTTTGGTGGTGAAGATGAAACTGACAGTCATTAATATTTACTTAGGATGTTATACACACAATTGGTATATTGACTGTATTTTTTGACATGGAGCTTTGCAAAATAACCGCAAAATTTGCCACTGAAACATTGTTATGGGGGAATTCTGCATTACCCATAATCCCTTTAAAAATGTAATATATGTATGATTGGGTACATATGAGTACACATTAATACATGCTTTAGCTCTATTTTATTTTTTTGTTTGTTTGTTTAAAGAAGTTGTGTTTTGTGATTAGCTTTTTTAAAAAGCGTCTTCAGTTTTGTTGACTGCGTTTACCAAACTGCCAGCCATATTCACATTTAACCCAAACAAAACAGTACTGGCTTTAGTATAAAATTAATGTTTATCAAACAACATACATACATGTTTAACCAAAATGCATGTTTATTGAATATAAATACTAAAAACACAATGTTGAGTCAATTAAGGAATCCAGCTGCACAGCATATTGAGTTACAGAACTTGTTGCACAAAGATGTGCTACATGTATCTAATTTCTTAAAGGGGTCATCGGATGCTAATTTCATTTTTACATGTTGTTTGAACATAAATGTGTGTTGGCAGTGTGTGTACACATCTACCCTATAATGATAAAAATCCACCCAGTGGTTTTTATTGAATCCTTAAAAATAATATCCTCTTTTTCAAATCAAGCCGTTCTCAGCTTCTTGTCTGTGTGACGTCACACGGACGAAGGCTGCTCCCACGATAGTTCATTGACACTGCCGTCTTACCTTAGACCTGCCCTGAGTGAGCTGTAACAGTCCGACCACCATTGTTTCGATGCCGGAGCAGGAGTAGACAAGAATGGCTCCATAGCGATTGATGTGGTCTGTTGTTGGATGTAATATTGAACTCCCGTCATTTACTCCCGACATCTGAGCCGCTGAAGACGCACGCAGTGGATTACTTTTGTTTGTGAAGGGAATGGCCCCCAATCTGCCTAAATGCATCTATGTTCGTGCAAATCATTCGTGATCCAGCTTCACTTACAGCAGAAGTGAGTATAAAGGGTATTTTATGCATGGTTCGTCACCCCACAGAAGAGGGGGCGGGATCAGCAGAGCTCATTAGCATTTAAAGCAACATGCAAAAACAGGTTGATTTCTGCAGAGCTGATTTTAACAAGATAAAAAGGGTGTTTTTCACACTACCATTGAGAAATTTTAACCAAAGTTTGTTATAGACTTTTCATTAAGACCCTAAAAAAATCATATCAACTTGTGGAAAATGGGCATCAGATGACCCCTTTAAAGTGGTAGTTCATTCAACTCTATTTAACTTTTAACAACCTTATAAAGATTATTCAGGCGTGCGTAATGAAGAAGGTTGAATTAGGTGAATGCACAAAGGTACTTTGTTACATATTTATACCTTTTGAAAAGGTACTGCCTATTTGACAGCTTTTGTACCTTTTTCTGAGAGTGTATATTTTGAGTAAGCCAACAACCTGCCTCAAAAAATAAAAAACATAATGCCAAATGCATAAATGTATACATGTAAAATGCTAATAAATGTGTAGCCCCTGCTACAGAATTTGTTACGGTTTTATATTTGTAAGTAAAGTTTATGTTAATGTTGTATAAATTTACACTTCAAGAGAACCTAAACTGTTGGGCCTGTGAATTTTATTTCCTTATTATGTAATTGAGTACTTTGTGAATAATAACCTATGCAATAACCTAATAAGCATGAATTTAAACAAATTAAACCTATTATATTAAAGAAAATTCCCATATGGCAGGAAGGGGGTGTTACACAAAATGGAGGCACCGCTGGGATGGATTTTATAAATTTGGGGTTATTAAGGATGTCCAGTTGCATCTACATTTCTTTGTTTTCATTTATGAGAACTATCATGGAGCCTGTATTGTACAAAAAAATACCAAGATACACTCAGTAGTTGGTGTAAAGGAGAAGGACTTGATCCAGCTCATGCTATACTGACTGCTGGGGTCGCAGAGGATGTCAGCATAAGCCAAATTGAAGAATTGATGCAAACTGTGCACTGTTGGGGTTGAGTAAGAGGAAGGACCTACAGTGTTGAAGCAGGAGGTTTGCTGGCTCTATGTGAATGTAGAGAAGAAATAACACCACAGATCGTTCCTCCTGAAGTGAGGAGTGATGATGGTACTACTGTTTGGCACATAGTGGTGGTTGATCCAAGGCCTGATTCGTCAGATGCGTCAGATGACTTTGTTGGCAAGCTACAGAATTTCTTGCAAGCTGAAGGTAAAACAGTTGCCGACCTCCAAGATTATGTAGCTACCCCAGCACCTGCTAAAGGTACTGAAGAATTCTTCATTCATGCTATGGCTGAAGTGATGAGGCAGTCTAACCGAAGTATGGTAGAGACTCACAGTTATTGTCGACTTCGCGTGTTTTCTGGTATCACCCCTACCCCAATGGGAGAGGAACAAGTTGAGTATTGACTTGAACAGGCCACAGTGATGATAGAGGGCAGTGATTGCCCTGAAAAGGAGAAGAGACGTAGAATAATAGAAAGTCTGAGGGGTCCTGCACTAGAAATTGTTAGGTCCTTACGTTTCAGCAATGATACATCCTAATCAGAACCGATGTCTTCTGCATCTGGGAACAGGTTTCTGATTTATTGTATCTGATGGAGGAAATGACAGTCATGAATTCCAGAAAAGAAAAACACAGAATACTCATCTTGGTTTAATTACTGCTAATGAATTGTGGTTAGACACACCATTGTGACCACAAGTTTTTTATTAAAACTGAAATATGTTAATATAGGTTTATTGCAAATTATATTACTTTGTTCTGGACAGGGTTATTTTAGTATAACTGAGATACTATTATAGTTTTTTCATATAGTTAAAATTTTCTAATTTTGCTCTTTTGAGTGATGTGTTGCTTATATTTTCTCAAAAGTGTGTGTGAAAAGTACTATACACTAAAAACAATTCCGTAAAATTTATGGTAAAAAACCAGCAGCTGTGGTTGCCGGAATTTTACCGTAAAAAAATACGGTAGCAACGTTATAGGTTTTACGGTTTTAATTTAAATTTACAGTTAAATACCGTAATTTCATTAACTGATATAATGTTAATATACCAACCTATTGAAGTACTGAAATCTGTTTTGTACCTTTGTAATACACTGATAACCACCAAATGCAGGTGGTGATGAGAAAGTCACATGATGAACCAAAGCCCATCACAAGCAGCTTTTAAATAATAACATGTATAGAAGGTGCACGGTGTCATTCACACAAACACCATCATAACACACATGAAACTGAAATAATGCAATAAACATTCATTTATCAACATTAGGTGTAACACACAACCCTAATATACAAAATGGATAAGAAAAAACTAAGAAGAAACAGTTATTTCAACAAAAAAACATCAAATTTGAAATGTAACGCAGGGAATTCTGGGAATGTCAATTTACGGTTATTCACTGTAAATTATACAGTCTTTTTCACTTCCAAAAACGGTATACTACCGTAAAATTAATGTCCAATACAGTTTTTCACCGTATATAGTAGGGGAATTTACCGTTAACCATTTAACAGGTTTTTACTGTAGCATTTTTACAGTCTTTTACCGTTAAATTCACGGTCATTTTTTACAGTGTATAGTTTAACTTCATTGTTTCAGTTTTACATGTGAGCGGAACTCTTCGAAATCCATATCTTATGGATTAATGACTGAACTACACGTTCTGCTCACAACATGGACTAAAGAGTGTATGTTGGCAAATGACCACAACACAATATATCCTTAAATGTGCATTTTATTTTAAAACCAACATTCATTTGTAAATGTTTATGTTCTTCCAACAGCAGCGTAAAGCTCATGTTCTTCCAACAGCACTGTAAATCTCATTCTCAGTACTGTGAGACTGAGTAAAAGTTCACGTTTCTCCAATAATTATACATCCTGATAAGTGTGTTATGTTCAGTGAGGCATGTTGTCTGAAAGTGAAGAAGGAAATAAGTGGGAAAAAAAGATGATATGCTGAAAGAATTAGGACAATACCAGCCACACCAAAGATCATTGTTGTGCGATTATACCATTTACCATTAAAACTGTTCATTTACTGCTCATGTATGAGATACGCTAGAAACTGGAAAGACTTTAACTTCAATTTATAGTCTGAAAGGATGTAGTTTCTTGTGCGTCTACTCAAACTGGCCACTAAAGGATCTCAGAAAGTGGACAGTAGATGCATGCGGTCAATAGGTCTTGTTCTTCTGACATTATATACCAACATCCCCACCAACACCGCAATGGAGACAACAAAGAGTCCTGCAAAGACCCCGGTGCTTGTGCTGATGTGTAGAAATCCACCGTCATTTGATGCTACAAAATGAAAGAGCAACAGAGTTAAATCAAAGATTATGGCATAGAAATCATGGTAACACTTTACACTAAAGTCCCATTTGTTAACATTAATTAAAGGAATAGTTCACCCAAAAATGAAAATGTGCTCAAAATGAACTCATCCTCAGGCCATCCACAATGTAGATGAGTTTGTTTCTTACAAACACAAAACTTTTCGCTTCACAAGACATTCACTGATGGACTGGAGTGGTGTGGATTACTTGTGGATTATTGTGATGTTTTTATCAGCTGTTTGGACTCTCACTCTGACGGCACCCATTCACTGCAGAGCATCCATTGGTGAGCAAGTGATGCTACATTTCTCCAAATCTGTTCCGATGAAGAAACAAGCTCACATCTTGGATGGCCGGAGTGTGATTAAATTTTCAGCAAATGTTTGGGTGAAAAATTCCTTTAACAAACATTAACAAAGATGCATAAATACCACAAGAAATATATTACTCAATGTTAGTTAATGCATGAACTAATGTTAAGAATGGAACCTTATAAAGTGTCACCGAAATAATACCACAGTCACTTTCAGTTAACTATTTTATTAAACCATATTCATATACCAGCATTATGAGTCTGTCGTGCCACACGCAAGGGACCCTGGGTGATGTAGTGCCTGGCAGTTTCTTGGCTCACATCTCGTCTACGTCTGCGTGCAGCTTGACTTAGGCAGCCTTGGGCACATCTGGAGTTTAAGCTATCTGTTGCACACAGGATCACGGAGCAGCTAATGTACACCTGTCAACGTGATTTCAAATGATTTTCGTGAAATGTTCCTGCTAAACACAGTTTACACAGTCATTGTTATGCAAATGTGTCGTACCTCATCAAAGCCTCCTGTGAACTTGAAAGCTTGGATCTGAAAGTCATACTTTGTGGAAACGCTTGGGTAAGCCATAACTGTATCATCCATAATACACCTGAAATAACACAATCAAAGAAATGAATGACTTCTGACGTCTATCACTCTTCAGTTTCATTAGTATTGCCTATATTAGGAAAATTGGAATTGTGCATTACTTTTTTCAAAATGAAATCCAACACAATATACTCATTGTTCCTTGATAAACTGTGAAAAGATTCCACATTTTGGTCTACTGCGTCACTTTGGACGCGCGTTCACGACAGTATCATGATGCGAGTGTGCGCCAGCGCTGATCAACGCCGCCACATGCTCATGATACTGTCGTGAACGCGCGTCCAAAGTGACACAGTAGACCAAAATGTGGAATAAACTCATTATTTTAGTTTTGTTTCTCGTAGCTTCGTAACTTTACAGTTGAACCACTGATGTCACACGGACTACTTTGTCGATCATCTTGGTACTTTTCTGGACCTTGAACGTGGTAGTTACCTTGCTGTCTATGGGAGGGTCAGAGAGCCCTCAGATTTCATCAAAAATATCTTAAATTGTGTTCCGAAGATGAACGAAGGTCTTACGGGTTTGGAACAACACGAGGGTGAGTAATTAATGACAGAATTTTCACTAACCCTAACTAACCCTTTAAGCATTCGTATCTGTATTCAAATCCTTACGTAAAAGATGTTTCTGCTAATGTATTTACCTGAAAGAACCCTTGCTTTTGCCACAGTCACGATGATGCACCTCATTTCTGACTGACTGATAAAGACAGACAAGAACTCTTAATAAGCTATGCAGAGAACAAAAATAACCAGTGAATATAAATTCAGACCCCATGTTACCTGTGAAGTGCCTCTGCTGCGAAACACACAGGTACACGACGGTACAAATCTGTCTTCTGTGGAGTCCAAGTCAGTGTTGCCTCCAAAACTCCATTACTCTCACTTGTCAGGGTCTTAGACATATTAGAGGGGCCACTGACCTGGAAGTCAAAGATGCTACACAGACAGAAGGAACAGAAAGATCAGACAGCATTAACTGAAGCAGCAGACAATTGAAAAACCTGATTCGGCAAACATTGTCAGTTGAGCATGTCAAGGTATTCTTTCCAACTTGATCTAGTGATAAAAATGGAATTCAGTTAAATTCATCTGCTCATCAAAATCACGCCACTTAGAAATGCAATGAAAAAACTGATTTAAAAATCTATTATGACTGCCACCAATAAGCAAAATGCAATCAAATCTGGAGGTTGCATATAACGAAACGTTGGCTTAACAAATATATAAGAGAAACACCGTAATTCTAGTTTTGTTTGAGAAACACAAAACATTATTCAGACCTGTTGTCTGAGATCTGTGCTCGCAGGGTGATCTCATGCACCTCTCCCACAGCGGCATGATGCACATCTCCATGTAAAGGAGTTGGTGTCAAGAAACTTGGTTTGTTCACGCCTGGTACACAACCCTGAGATGGTGGAAGAACTGCAAGATGGTGTGTAGAGTATGTTTAAATACACAGAAATGCACAAACACAGTATCAGTGCTACACAATTCACAACAGACGAACATTTATTGTAAGTGCAGCATCAGTTCACTTCTGCTTTCAATTACGTGTTCTGATACAATTAACAAAAGCCAAACCAAACCTGTTTATCCACAATTTTTCTTTTGACATGTCTTGCATTGTTTTGGTTCTTGCTAATGACACGCATTCTCTCAAATGACAGAAACCGGTTGTTCGGGTCAATCAAACAAAAATGGATGTCTATTGTTTTTCTGGAAGTGATCGATGTCTCGAATATTGCTGAAATTATACTGTAGCTCTACAGTATGTCTAGTTTATGTTCTTTCCCATGCACTTTTGATTTCCATTTTTCTTTCTTTATATTTAAAAAAAATACTTTCAACAGATTACACCTTCAATCAAAAACAAAGTATTTTCTGCATGGACTTGAGCAATATATTTCCATGACTTTTCCAGCCATTTGTGATTACTGCATCAGGATTTTTATGAAACAGTTTAGAGATTGTTCTGAATATTTCTTACACTGTAAAAATAAAAAGAAGAAAATATTTTTCGAAGTTGGAAATAGTTATTGGAGTATATTTTTCTACATCAAATGTGTAACTCATCAAATTTTAATCAATGTGTAACTTAACGTTTCTTTGTAATTGTTTGTAAAATATACTAGCAATTTCTGAATGAAAATTGTTTCTACTCCAAATTTTCAGTGTACTTTGCCAAATTAATACTTCTGGTATTCCTTTCAATTTCATTTGTGAGACTTTGTATGTTAAAAAAATAATAATAAAGATATTGCTCTTAATATTTCTTACTTTTTTAGTTAATTTGAATCCATTTTTGTGATTTCTGTAAATTTCTTCTAAAAAGTTATATAGCATCCTAAACTATTTTATTGCATGTGGGAGAGTCTTTGTTTGACCCGTAACAGATAATGTGATTCTCACTCACTTTCAACTGCAAACTGCAGAGGCACTTGACTGAGAGCGGTTGGGTTACTGCTCTCATTGAATGCATTACTGACTGAGAAGACCCCGTTTTCGTCAGTCAGAGTTATGTTTGAAACGGGATAATCCTCCAGCAAGAGCTCAAACACATGCACACCCACATCCAGAGAATCTTCTCTGTGCAAAGTGCATGATTCCTACAAAACAAACACACACACACACACACACACACACACACACACAAACATTCAAAATACAAATTAAAAGGTCAAAGGGGCAAGGAGCATAATTTTACCCTTCCAATTTGAGGTTTTTCTTCAAGTTGAAGAGTTTATCATTAGAAAACGTTACCTGATAAAGATGTATGTTTGGATGTTGATGGCACACTGTGCAGTTGGCGTCATTAAACCTGCATCTCACAACATCGTTATCTGGATCATGTGCCAGCAAATGAATGTTCTGGAAGCAGTTCTGAGGAATCCTGAGTATTATCAAAAAGACAATGCAGCAAGATGCATTATGTATTTACGGAAGTGGATGTGTCTGTTAATGAAAATACAAATGCAAAATATATGTATTAATACATTTTTATGATGTCATTTTAAAAAGCACGCACCTTATGTTTGGAATTGCTGCTGAAACAGGGGATCTGTTTGGGGACTGAGTGTCAGATCGACGGCCGGTGTCAACATGAGTGCGAAGCGTCCATCCACCGACACCATGAACATTATCCTCAAAGCAGCAACCAGAGGAGCTGATAGAGATATTTAATAAAATGCATGTGCATTTACGTATTATGTCATTAATTGTTATGTGTTTAAATACGAGAGAATATATAATTCACTTTATGCATTAACTACAGAACTTAATATGACAATCCTTTAACATATACACATTTTTGTGGGATTTTATTCATTTATTTGTATCTATTATGTGTATTTTGTGATTATGTAAGACTGTTATCAATAACTTAAGTCAGAGCATAATAGTTGTGTTGTATAAAAACAGCATCAGAATTACCTCAGAATGAATGGACCATTACTAGTGACATTGCTGGCAATGTGAACCTCTAATTGGCACCACAGATTTTGAGCTGTGCTGTCTGTCACCACAGGTTCGGTGCTAGTGAGGATGCCACACGATCCACTCTGACAGATCCAGTCAACCTGAGAACCACAGGGACCCCTACTGGACTCTCTGTAGTAAAAGTGCATCTGCCAAAAGCACACAGAGGAGACGGGGCTAGTTGTCACATGTTTTACATGAATTACATAACCAGTGTTGTTATTATTAACTAAAACTATAAAAAGGTTATTTAAAAATCAGTAATTTAAGTAAAGATGAAATAAAATATAAATATTAGATGAAAAAAAACTTTATATATATATATATATATATATAATAAAAATGTCAAAAGCACATAACAAAATTACTATTAAAGTAAAAAATGTGAAAACTAAAAATAAAAGCAAATTGTAAATAGTATACTATAATATATAAATAATAATCCAATTAAATCGCTTTGCACAACAGCAAGCTGAGAAATTTCAGGAAATTAAGCATTCACAATCTAAGTTTAGATTGCTTCATTTTACATGCTCTGTATGAAACAGAAATAGTACAAGTAAAAAAAAAATACAAATAGACTAATTAAAATGAGACTCATTAGGTTCTAAAATTTCAAAACTGGATTTACCTCCACTGATCCATCTGGAAATCTGTTTCCAGGTGTGAACGTCATGGAACCCCCATAGAAACCTACGGCTGGTCCCAGAGCGAGAGCTAAGCTCAGCAGCAGCAGCATTGCGCCGTGTGCCATTGTGTCTGATGGAATCACACGCTGAGCAATGCCATATACTGAGAAATGGGTGGATACTTTCTGTTTCTAAGTTATTGTTTGAATTGTTCCACCAGCTGAAGACATGCATGTGATTAATGACAGGAATTAGCTTCCTTGAAAAGCAACATACACAGATTATTTTTTATCCAGTTACCGTATCACTATTGACTTCCTATTATGGGAACATTATACAATCTTATCTATGGCGATCATGTTTAACATACAAAAACAAAATCAGTAATTTTTTACAATTAATTAATACATGTTGAATTATTTTTTTCTTACTGTACAAGAAGATTAAAATGCAGTTTAGAAATATTTTTTTTGCAGTCTGCATTCCAATCAAGAGGAAATTCACATTCCTCAAACATGATACCAGATATTTCAGAGGATTTTCAGACCGAGAATCACACCATCTGATAAAAATGAAAATTAGGCCATCGTTTACACACCCTTATGTCATTCTAAACCTACTTTCTTATTTGCATGTAATACAAAAGATGTTAAGCAGAATGACAGTCTTAATCACCTTGCATTTTCATCTGTGAAAATGTCCTGGGCTGTCAGACCCTAACATCTCTTTTTGTGATCAATGGAAGAAAGAACAAGTCATACAGGTTTGTAAAGGATATTTCAGACCGAGAATCACACCATCTGATAAAAATGAAAATTAGGCCATCGTTTACACACCCTTATGTCATTCTAAACCTACTTTCTTATTTGCATGTAATACAAAAGATGTTAAGCAGAATGACAGTCTTAATCACCTTGCATTTTCATCTGTGAAAATTTCCTGGGCTGTCAGACCCTAACATCTCTTTTTGTGATCAATGGAAGAAAGAACAAGTCATACAGGTTTGTAAAAACACTTTTAGATCAGCCTTTCCCTTTAACTGAAGGGCAGGTTGCGGCCCTTGAGCAATATGAGGTTTATAATAGTGAATGCTGGCTTCTCTCCTCCTCACGAGTCAGCGCTGATTTGTTATCCTAATGCTCAATATGGTGACTGTGTTAAATTGCCTTTGTAATAAAAAGTTTGCCTTTTAATAAAAGTGTTTACTCAGAGAAACTGTAGGTTTGGATACCATTAATCGCATTTCATATAAAACAGTTCAGAGGGAGAGAGTGTGAGAGAGATATATATTTTAAAATGTAGGCTAATTTATTCCTGTGACGGTTTTGAAACATTATATAAATGTCTTTACTGTCAACGTAATGCCAACTTTCTGAATAAAAGTATTAATTTATTTAAAAATAGAGTTGGTGCTCAAAATTTTGAACAGTTAGTTTTTTACAGTTTAAAAAAAAACAAAATAGGTTTTTAAAAAAATCTGCAATTGAAAATATGATCCAAATTGCTTATTTCCTCGCCTGTTCTGGACATTTTTGGAGACGTTCTCAGACACACGCCCCTCCCATCAGAGCGAATCTCTTTTGATTGACACGAACCTTGACCAATCGTAGCAAATGAATGTTTGAGGGGGCGGGATTTCCTTCAACTTCATCGCTGGATGATCTGCTGCAGCTCTAGGTGACACGTAACTAAAGGTGCGATTAGGCCTCTCTAAACTTCAGCTAATTAGTAAAAAGACAATTTTTCATTATGTAGAAAACTTTACAGAGCTTTGACTAAGCACGAGGACCGACTACAACCGGATTCGTTACTTTTTTAATCTGCCGAATGTCTTTGGAAAACTTGAGACTTTCGTAAACATTTCAAATATACAAGTCGCGCGAGCAACTGTCCACAATTATAATGTTTCACGAGGAATCTGGGAGAGGACGGAGCTGTTTCTATACTGAAGAGTGAAGAGAAAATCATTCCCTGGAAAGTTTCTGTGGAATCCGGGAGAGGAGGGAAAATGGGCAACGGCGTGTGCTCCAGGAAGCAGAAGAAGATTTTCCAGTCTCTGTTACTGGTCACGGTGGTGTTTGGGATGATCTATGGTGGGATGTTTTCTTACGAGATGCACAAACAGCTGAAGAGGACAGAAGAGATGGCCGTGAAATACCAGCAGCACCAGGAGTCTCTCTCCGCTCAGCTTCAAGGTAAAAACAAACACACGTCGCCGCGATGACGTCACGACGCAAGGAACGTTCTATGAAACAAGTTTACGTTTTTTGCCGAGCGAGCCATGACACTTTTTTTTACTCAGTGATCGTCCTGTTGGTCCTTTGATTGTGGTGTTGTGGTTTAGTGGTTAAAGCTCCAGAGAGGTCATCAAAAGTTTTAGGTTTCAGTCACATAAAGGAATGTAACATGACATGAGAGATGACATTGTTTGAATACACATTAACTGAATTTCTCAGGTTTCAAGACCTGCTTGTGAGAACAGAATGTTGCCTACTGGTTAGGAAAGAGCTAGGCTGGTAAACAAAACGTTTGTATGTTCAAATCACATGAAATTACGCCGCTGTTCAAAAGTTTGGAATCAGTAAGATTTTTTTAAAGGGGTCATATGATGCTTTTTTTAAAGATCATTATTTTGTGTATTTGGTGTAACAGAATATGTTGACATGCTTTAATGTAAAAAAAACATTATTTTTCAAATACTGTACATTATTGTAGGTCCTCTATGCCCCGCCTCTCGCTTTTGCTTTCGCCTAGAAACACACAGCGTCTCCCTGACATGCTGCATCGACACTAACTGTGGTTACTGAAACCACGCTTTCTTTCTTTGCGTGCACATTTGGGCGGCATTATGCAAATATTTCCACATAGTGAGGTAGATATGTGGGGGCGTGTTAGAACGAGCCGTTTTAGGGGGGCGTGGCAGAGTCTTAACTTTGATAAAGAATATCTCTTTGGTTTTGAGACTTTAGTCTTTGCAACTTCAGGGATCTTATCTATGCACAATCAGCTTGTAACACTCCAAAGAGAAAGGACAACTTGAAATCGCATCATATGACCCCTTTAAAGTGTTTTGAAAAAAGTCTCTTGTTCATAATAGCATTTATTTGACCAAAAATACAGAAAAAACTGTAATATTGTGAAATATTATTGGCATTTAAAATAATGGGTTTTCTATTTTACTATACTTTAAAATATCATTTATTTATGCGATGCAAAGCTGAATTTTCAGCATCATTACTCTAGTCTTCAGTGTCACATGATCCTTCAGAAATCATTCTAAAATGCTGATTTATTATCAGTGTTGGAAACAGTTGTGCTGCTTAATATTTTTTTTGAAACCTGTGATACTTTTTTCAGGATTCTTAAACAAATAAAGTTAAAAAGAACAGCATTTATTTAATCCTTTCTAACAATATAAGTCTTTATTATCATTTTTTATCAATTTAACACATCCTAAAAGCATTAATTTCTTTAAAAAAAAAAAGAATTACTGAATGGAATAGAGTGGAGTGGGTTAAGTGTTGAATATTGGTTAAAGATAATCAAAGGATTTTGAGATCAAACCATTTAAATGATTATATAGCAATACACAAATTTCATCTTCTACACACTTGACTAATGCATTTTCAAAGAAATGCATTGCTGCAGTTTGTAATCCTTTTCATGCAAATCAAACAGTGTTTAGAAGCAGGTGGTATTGTGGTGGTGAGGTGTATTTGAAACTGATCAAGAATTTTTTTTTGTCTGATACACCCTGAAATCATGTATTGAAATCCAAGAAATGTTTGCTTGTTTCTGTGTGTAGCTACTGCAGTGATTCCCTGCAGGCAGCTGCCGCTGTAGATACTCATTTTTATGCAGAACATTTTGTTGGCAACCAGCTTGTTTCAACCTGTGCCTAAAATCACAGTCTTTCATTCTATTGTCTCACAGAGATGGTCTTCGCTGTTTGTCCGCCCTTCCAAGCTCAATATGCTTGCTGCTGGAAGGGCAAGAAGAAATGGTCCTTGTCTTGAGATCAAAAGTAGATCTATGTTAAACTGTTGGTGATTAAACTACAGTTTTGTTGCTTTGCCATGTGGACTTTAACGAAATTGAATAAATTTAAATGCTCCGAGCTCATCAATAAGATTTTTACAACAAATATATGATAAAAAATAAAATTGTTTATATATATATATATATATATATATATATATATATATTTATTATGTAGTTAATTATATCATTTATAACCGCCATTTAAAAGAAATGTTATAGATTAACAACAAATTGTTTTATATGTATTATTTATATATTTCAGATTTTTGTCTTGACATCAACAAATATTATTAATTATTTTTTAGAAAATATAAATTTTTGTTAAATTATTTATGTTTTTATTTTACTTCCTGTAGTAAGAGATTTCGGTTTTTTAGTATTTAATTTTAGAATTATGAATTAATTATAATTCATTATATTTATAAAGTAATTTTTTATCAATTGTTCTATATTTATTATATTTATATAGTTCATATTTGTCTTGACAACAACATGTGATCAACATGAATAATAGTTATTACTAGAAACTTTTTTTATATTTCTTAAACAGAAATGTAAATATTAAATAAAAGTTTGTTTTATTTTTATTTGTTTATTTTCCTGCTATAAAGACTTATAATATAGATGTGTAATTATTATAGAATTCATTATGCTAAATTATGCATAATCGTTTATAACAGTAAGTTTTAATACTTATTTTATATTTTAAGAAATAAATATATTAAAAAAAGTATTGAAAGTTTTATAGATGTTTATTATATGGGCTTTGGGACGTGAGCTCTTTAACCTAACAGGTCTCTTATGTCCTGAGCATATGTGCTGTCCATTGCACAAACGATTTTATTGTACCACTAGGTCTTATTATGTGGAGACTGTGTTTGAGAGTCAACTGTGATTACTGCCTTCGAGTCATAATCACTGCACACAGCCTCTTTATAATCAGTATAATCAGTACTTGATGTGTCAGTAATGTAATGATGATTGTAATGGGAGGATACAAGACCAGACCCAAGGGGTCAGAGGACGCAGACCATGTCTTCACTGTAATAGTGTAGTTCAAGAAACAACCTACACTGCTGGACGAACACAAATATGGGGAGGGAAAGCTCAGTCAGGCTTCATTTCCTGTGGCATTTCAGATTTTGAAGGAGGGCTGCTGTGCACATTCACAGCTCATGTTACGGATAAAAAGTCAGTGCACTCTGAGAGCAGCAGGGGT